TTTTTTTTTCCAGGATGACGTCACAGCCAAACAGGAACAGACGAGGCAAAGCTACTCTGAGGAAAAGCAGAGAGAGCAGAAGGTTAGAGATTGAACTAACAGATTCTGCAGAATAGGAGAACAGAGAGAGAATGAAGCAGAATGATGAAATGGGGGTCCCTATGTCCTCCAAAAGTCTAAGCCTATAGCAGCATAACTATAGAGATAGCTCAGGATAACCTGAGCCACCCTAACTATAAGCTTTATCAAAAATGAAAGTTTTAAGCCTAGCCTTAAAAGTAGACAGGGTGTCTGCCTCACGGACTAAAACTGGTAGTTGGTTCCACAGGAGAGGAGCCTGATAACTAAAAGATCTGCCTCCCATTCTACTTTTAGAAATTCTAGGAACCACTAGTAAACCTGCAGATTGAGAGCAAAGTGCTCTGTTAGGAACATAAGGAACAATCAGATCTCTGATATAAGATGGAGCTTGGCCATTTAAGGCTTTATATGTGAGAAGGAGGATTTTAAATTCTATTCTTGATTTAACAGGAAGCCAATGAAGAGAAGCCAGGATAGGAGAGATATGATCTCTCTTTTTTATTTTCATTAGAACTCTGGCTGCAGCATTTTGGATCAGCTGAAGGCTTTTAACTACAGTTTGTGGACTTCCTGATAGTAAAGAATTACAATAGTCCAGCCTTGAAGTAACAAATGCATGGACTAGTTTCTCAGCATCACCCCTGGACAGGATATTTCTAATTTTTGCAATGTTCCTCAGATGAAAGAAGGAAATTCTAGAAACCTCTTTGATATGGGATTTAAATGACAGGTCCTGATCAAAAATAACACCAAGATTTTTTACTTTATTATCTGAAATCTGTTTAATCCCATCCAAATGAAGTGACTGGCTAATCAGTTTCTTTTTCAGAGACTCTGGTCCAAAGACTATAACTTCTGTTTTGTCTGCATTCAGAAGCAGAAAGTTAAGAGTCATCCAGGTTTTTATGTCTTCAAGACATGCCTGTAATCTATGTAATGGGTTAGCTTCATCTGGATTTATAGACAGATATAGCTGGGTATCATCAGCATAACAGTGGAAATTAATCCCATGCTGTCTAATAATTCTACCAATTGGGAGCATGTATAAAGTAAAGAGAATTGGTCCTAGCACGGATCCCTGTGGTACTCCACAGGTAACCTTTGAGCGTGTTGAAGATCTATCATTAACATGAACAAACTGAATTCGATCAGATAGATAAGATTTAAACCAGTCTAGTGCTGTTCCTTTAATTCCAACAAAATATTCAAGTCTTTCTAAAAGAATATTATGGTCAACTGTATCAAATGCAGCACTAAGATCCAACAGGACGAGCACAGATACAAGTCCATTATCTGAGGCCATGAGAATATCATTAGTGACTTTCACCAGAGCTGTTTCAGTGCTATGATGAGCTCTAAAGCCAGACTGAAACTCTTCAAAAAGTTAATTATGGTGGAAGTGATCGCAAACTTGTTTGGCAACTACTTTCTCAAGAATTTTGGATAAGAAAGGAAGATTGGATATAGGTCTATAATTGACCAAGTCATCTGGGTCAAGAGACGGTTTCTTAAGCAGAGGTTTAATTACAGCAATCTTAAAAGCTTTAGGTACATATCCCTGTAACAGAGATAGATTAATCACATCTAAAATGGAGGAGGAGATCAAAGGGAATACCTCCTTAAATAACCTGGTTGGAACTGGATCTAACATACAAGTTGAAGGCTTAGATGAAGACAATAATTTTGCTAATTCAGAGAGTTCAACTGGATCAAAGCAGTCTAAACCCGGTTCAGATTCCATGACTACCTCAGGTACAATCGCGGATAGAGGAGTGCTTTCACATAAAGAGAATTTAGAGAAGCCAATTAACCTAACAGTCATGTTTTTGGACTGTGGGAGGAAGGGAGTTTGCTATACAGGGGCTAATTAGTGGTTTGATATATTACATATAGGCATTTTTATGCATGATTTTACTTTTGTTAAACTAAAATGTGATTGAATTGCCCATACACCAATTAGAAATGCTAAAAATAAAGAGGGGGAGGTCCAAAATAAAGTTCTTATGCAGCACAGACCTAGTATATGGGATTTTATATGCACTAATAAAGGCTAGTATCATCAAGATTAAAGTGTAACCCTCTGTTTTGTAGCTATGGCTTTCAGAGTCCTGCATTTTGACAATATAGAGGCAGATGGCATAGCTCTAGGAGTCATCTCTACATTAGGGTGAACAGCAGGTAGTGGCATCATGTACAAGTGTGTATGTGGGTGTGTGTATGTTTGTGTCCTACACATCCAGTAAGGAGAGTTCACAAGGACATGTTTCCAGATCTTGCCTTTGGCACGTGTCACTAACACTTATGTCTCTTTTACTGCACATGGCTGCATGCATACATGTTTAAGTGCAGACAAGAAGAAATATGCTGCTTTGTGGGATTGAAGAAGTGATCTCAGTTCTGAGGCGGGAGGAGACACGAATAGAAGAAAAGCTTTTTTTACTTCTCTCTTGGTGTTTTTTTAGAGGACAATAGAATAGTCAGGTGAGGGTAGTGAAACCGGGCCTAAAACGTTTCAACATTTGATTTTATTGTATTGCTCAACATTTCCGTCTTCACTTTGATTAATTTCTAGGAATCACAGGGCGCCTCTGTAGGCAAATAAGGGCCGTTCTTGTGATTTGACAGCCTGGAGGCCATTAGCCGAACAGATGGCCTCTTAGTAAATGAGAAATGACATTCATGTGAAATGCTATGGGAAACAGACACAGACTATCTTGATGATGGAGTCTGGACAGAGGCGAGAGGAGAGAACGTGTCTGTGATTGGGTTACTGGCAGATGTCAGTGTTTTGAGATCTTCTCGTTTCTGAGAACAGAGCCACACAGAGAGGACAGACAGACGGGCTTAAGTGGAAAACCATGTCCACTCTGACTTCCATTTATTAGAATACCCTGACGTGGCGCTCATTTGCTCCTGTGTAAATCTTTTAGTTGACAGGCCGCTACTTTGACAGTCCTGTTGCTTCAAATTGCATTTGGAACTACTCTCTGTAATCTCTAATAATTCTCAGTTTTTGCCATTTTCAGAATATAAACTAAGCTTTTACTTCAATGCTGACTTCCATGTATGATCAGATGAATGTTATTTATTCCTCTGAACTCTTTCCACAGGCAAACAGGCTCATATCTGCTTTTGTGTCTCCATCATCATAACTATATTTTCCTATATTATTGATGCAGAGATTGGGAAACAGCTGTGAGAGTGCTCCTCAACCCATTTTTTAAACATTTATCAATACGGGTTTGCAGCCAAACCATCCAGTCGTCTTTTAAAGTGCTCAGTATCAGTAGTTTTCTGACGTTTTTCTTCTGTTTCCTTTTCAATCATTTTATATTTTGTCCTTGTCCTGTCCTGCACTGACCATCACAGCCAATTGTGCAGGTAGTCCTTATAAAAAAAAGTGGGTAAGTGGACATAAAACTAGAAATGTCAGGCTTAAAAAGATGGATGATGCTTTGTATAATTTATAAAAACATCCTAACACTGAACCGAGGTGATTTGCTGTCCTTCATTTGATCATTTATATCCTTCTGGCTCTTTTTGAAAACTTAAAATAAAAATGTTCTGTCCTTCCAATGGTTATTTGCGGTATTTTTTCACAGTTTCAACTAGGAGAAAGAGGGAACAAGACTCAATATATATAGAACTAAATCTTGCAAAGTGTCCTCAGATCTAAATAAAAACTAGTTTTCTGCAAAGTAGAAATTTTATGCATGCATACTTGTGCAAGGCGTTAACCACCCCCGCCAAAAATACCTCTGTCTGATGTTTAGTAAATGGAAGTAATTTTTCTAATTCTAGCTGACGTGAAGAAGGAAACATTTAGTCAGATTCAATATCAAGCAGTTGATCTGTTTAGTGATTTATTTTTACATTTCTTATAACTGTTTTGTTCCTCACAGATGAACACATAAGTGTCTTAGTGAGTAAACAAAGTTGCCCAGTTGTCCAGAAGCAATGCAGGCTCATTAGATATATATTGCAACCTTGTAGACGGCTAACTGATGTGTGTTTGTTTCATTGCCAACCGTAAAGTGACATCTTACATCTACAAAATGGTCTTAATCTTGTTTAATCTTAAAAGGGAGAAAAAATATGTTATGCATGCAAACTTTGGAAGCTATGATTTGGATCAGTTGAGTTATTTGTGTTTTTTTGTTTGTTGTGCATTGTTCTTGGTTTTATTAGCATCCATGCTTGACTTATCAGCATTAGTATTAAATCCTCTGTAATCATGGGTTACATTATGGCTGTTTCCTCTCAGCTCGTGCTTGTATTTGTAGACCAATGTCTTCATTCGTATACTTTAAACTGTTTGTTTGTTTGTGTGCGTGAAACTCCTCTGTCTCTACTTATGTCCAACCTTTATTCATTAAAGGTCAGTGCTCCTTCCCCTTCATGAAAAGTTGCTAATTCTGTCTGATTTTCACACATTCAAACACAAACAGGTTGCAGTCAAAGTCTTCCACTAGATCTCCAAAGACGCTGAACACACAGCTTTGCTTTTTTGCTCTCTTTAGTGAGGGTGCGAACACATTCACACACATGATGCTTTGTTGTAAAGAGGAAAGAGTAGGAGGGAGGGTGACTGACTGAGAGAGCAAACAAGAGCTGAAGCGCTATTCAGAAGCTTTTGGGATTTGATTTATGTGATCTGTTTCAGAAGAGGAGACAAATATAGCTGATGTAGCACACCATGTATTATTTAGATACCAGTCTATTGTTTACTGTACATTCTCCTGGGGGTTAGAATTTGATTCCAGAATACAGAAATGCAAAACAGATGCAAAGAATCCAAAGAGATGTTGCGAAACCAACATGGGGAAAGACTCCTGATCTGAGATGTTAGTGGTAGAATTTACTCATCCAAGAAATTGTACTAATTCTTACCATATGTCTTGATGTGTTTTGTTGGACAGATAACATTTTGGGGAGAGAGACATTCAAGAGTGTGACAAACTTCAGCTCCTTCCTGCTTGACCCTTCCTCAGGCACCCTCTTCCTGGGTGCCAGGGACGCCATACTAGCTATAGATACCAAGAACCTGAACCAACCACCGAAAAAGGTAAAACTTGAGCAGACAAGAGTGAACCTGCATGTCCTTGTGAACTGTGTGCATCCAAATAGATCCAGAGTTATCTAGATTAACTGTATTAACCTGCATACTGCGTCTTAGTCTGGATGATTTATTAGAAACTTTATAGAAAGAGGAAGGAGTTTGTTTGAAAATAATACAATATAAGACAGTGCAAAACCACTGGAAGGCTTTTTAAAAATCTGATGAGTTTTTCCACTTCGGTTGCTCATGTATGATTCATACAGTATTGAATGATTTTATCCAGCAAAGTATTTTTACCTGTTATGTTTTACTGATTTAGTCCTTTTATATGTTTCAGGCGCACTGAGTGAGAAGTATAGGCTTCCTGTAAATTATTGCAAGATTGTGCCTCTTGATCTTATGAGCGCTCTAATTTTGTTATACTACCTTTAAAGATCAGCCTATTTGGATGTACAGAAGTAGCACATCTCTGCATATACTGAGGGTTAAAGAGTTAGGGCCGGATCTATCAAAGGTTTGCGTGTATTAAAACGTGAGCTATTTCACTGCGCACGCTAAAAAATGTACAAACTGATCTATCAACAGCGTGCTAATAGCATTTGGTCTTTAAAACGTGCTAAATAGCGCCTCTGATCCATTTAGTACTTTTTCTGCAATGAATATGCAATATGGGGCGTTTACACGCTAAAGTGCGTCTTGTGGGAGGAGAACATGTAAATATATTAATTTAGCAGTCGCAAAGTGATTTATCAAACTTGAACGCAATTTTGCTAACGGTATCTGACTCTATATTTAACACGTTTCAAAAGAAGGTGCAAATGGTCTGTATGCGTAATTGCGCACACATGGCAGCGGTTATTGTCGCAAGAAGGAGACATGGAAATAAAGCAAGGAGACGCAGAGAACGCATTTTTTCACTCCGTGTGAATATTTTTGCAATGAACGAGGAAACGATCATCAAAACATATAGTTTATCCAGCATATTGCCATTTTGGAGCTGTTGGGGGAACTCCGAATGGATTTGGAGCCAGGCACAAGGAGGACCCACGCAATACCAGATATCACAAAACTCCTTGCAACATTGCACTTTTTTGCATCTGGGTCATTCCAGCGTACGGTTGCAGCGTGAGCTGGGATCTCCCAATCTCGTTTTTTCAGAAGAGCTGTCTGACGGGGTCGGGGTTCTCCCCCTGCGCCTGTGGAGCAACGTGCCAAATGCTGCGGGGATCTCATCCACAGTCACAGGCCAATACAAAACACCTGTTTTTTTTTTTTTTTTTTTTTTTTTTACTGCAGCACATACCACCTTAGGGAATAAAGGTTGCCAATTTATAATTTATAAATAAATAATATATATATATATTTACCTATTTATTTTTTTTGTTGGGGGTCACTGTAAGATTTAAATTTCTTAATGCACTAGTTTGTACAGACTAGAAACTACTTTGCCGCAAACCACAAAACGCGCAAAACCATCATTTAAATAGGGCGTCTCCAACAGTTTTGCACCTGCCACCAGTTACGCAATCACTCTTGTTAAATCACCCGCAAACCATGGTTCAGCCCCTCGCGCAAAATTCCAGTTTGCGAGCGCAAATTACTGCACGCAAAATTGGATCTTGATAAATCCGGCCCTAAGAGTAATCTAACATTGATTGGCAATCCATTACAGGTAAGCAGCTAATGATGATTCATTTCATTTTTCTTCTCACCCTGGTTTTAGATTGACTGGGCTGTACCAAAAGAGAAGAGGAAGTCTTGTGTGGGGAAGGGAAAGACAGAGGTGAGAACCATGAATGCTCTACATCTTATGTTTGGTTTAGTTTAGATATAAAAAGCTCCGATTGAAACTTGCTATAATGTACTGTGGAAAACTTTTGCATATTTAAAGCTTTTTGTATGTTTAAATTTTTTTGGGACTCCTATTCCAACTGAAATGCCCTGGTAAACATAAAAAGGTTAGAAATTCACCCCCCCCAAAAAAAAATTTTAAATAAGCTGCATTTTCATTGTATATTCTGTTAAATTCAAAAATTCAAAGTTCGTGAAATGTGAAAACATTTCTTCAAGCTCAAACTCTGAAAAAAATATGGCCGCAATTTTATTTTTTTACTTTTTCATAAATAAAACTTACTTGCTTGTGTGTACAGATGAAAGCATGTGAGCAGGAAGTTAACAAGGTCAATAACAACAAAAATAAAATAAACGTACAGCGATGGATGCAAACATGAGATACACTATATTGCCAAAAGTATTTGCTCACCTGCCTTGACTCACATATGAGCTTAAGTGACATCCCGTTCCTAATCCATAGGGTTCAATATGACGTCGGTCCACCCTTTGCAGCTAGAACAGCTTCAACTCTTCTGGGAAGGCTGTCCACAAGGTTTAGGAGTGTGTTTATGGGAATTTTTGACCATTCTTCCAGAAGCGCATTTGTGAGGTCGCACACTGATGTTGGACGAGAAGGCCTGGCTCTCAGTCTCCGCTCTAATTCATCCCAAAGGTGTTCTATCGGGTTGAGGTCAGGACTCTGTGCAGGCCAGTCAAGTTCATCCACACCAGACTCTGTCATCCATGTCTTTATGGACCTTGCTTTGTGCACTGGTGCACAGTCATGTTGGAAGAGGAAGGGGCCAGCTCCAAACTGTTCCCACAAAGTTGGGAGCATGGAATTGTCCAAAATGTCTTGGTATGCTGAAGCATTCAGAGTTCCTTTCACTGGAACTAAGGGGCCAAGCCCAGCTCCTGAAAAACAACCTCACACCATAATCCCCCCTCCACCAAACTTTACACTTGGCACAATGCAGTCAGACAAGTACCGTTCTCCTGGCAACCGCCAAACCCAGACCCGTCCATCAGATTGCCAGATGGAGAAGCGCGATTCGTCACTCCAGAGAACGCGTCTCCACTGCTCTAGAGTCCAGTGGCGGCGTGCTTTACACCACCGCATCCGACGCTTTGCATTGCACTTGGTGATGTATGGCTTGGATGCAGCTGCTCGACCATGGAAACCCATTCCATGAAGCTCTCTGCGCACTGTTCTTGAGCTAATCTGAAGGCCACATGAAGTTTGGAGGTCTGTAGTGATTGACTCTGCAGAAAGTTGGCGACCTCTTCGCACTATGCGCGTCAGCATCCGCTGACCCCGCTCCGTCAGTTTACGTGGCCTACCACTTCGTGGCTGAGTTGCTGTCGTTCCCAAACACTTCCATTTTCTTATAATACAGCTGACAGTTGACTGTGGAATATTTAGGAGCGAGGAAATTTCACGACTGGATTTGTTGCACAGGTGGCATCCTATCACAGTTCCACGCTGGAATTCACTGAGCTCCTGAGAGCGACCCATTCTTTCACAAATGTTTGTAAAAACAGTCTGCATGCCTAGGTGCTTGAATTTATACACCTGTGGCCATGGAAGTGATTGGAACACCTGATTCCAATAATTTGGATGGGTGAGCAAATACTTTTGGCAATATAGTGTATATCCACATTTCAGCCATGGGTCTAGTGGGCGCCATTATCCTCCAACTACATTCTCCAGTCTGCTTCTTTTTTTTTTAAGCACCACCAGCTGCAGATCACATGACTTTGGTAATGTTTTATATTTCTATTGCAGTTTTTATACAAGCAAAAAAATCCCCTAATCGAAGAATTAAAACTTTTTTCCAAAACAATACTTTTTTATTTTTATTGTAGTGTCACCTTTTGGTAAATTTATTTTCATCATAACAATTTTTACAATTAAGTGGATAATAGAAAAGCAGCTATACCGAAAAGTTTCTGGTTTATGAATACAATACAGTTTAAAAAAGTCAAATTTCAAAATCATAATTTTGTTTTGTTTTTTTCTATCCCTTTCAGCTCCACCTTATAATACTGAATGCACACTGCCAGCCTCAATGTTCAATTCCGTTTTTTGTTGTTAAATCTGTTTGTTTTCTGTGGTCATTCACATTTCTAAATATATGCAACTTGTATGTAAACTGCTGTATGAACTGCATTTATACAACTTAAGTGTCCCGCATGCCCAGTCGACGACGCAATAACATTAAGTAGCGTGCGTGTTCTGTATTTACAGAGGTAAACATGGATTGTTGTGCTGGAGCGCATCTAGCAATCTTTAATTTCTTTTCCAAATGGATCCAGAACATTAACAATGCAATCGTTTTAAAAAGGAAGAGAAAGACTCCTCTCTGCATTGTTATCCGCCATGGTTGATGTGTTTCATCCCGATTCGATGTATAATAGCAGCCTTTGATGAGTATTAGTCACGTTAAGGGTGGATGAATGTGACCTGGGCATTTAGACACATGTCGAATTTGAAAAGATCAGATATCTATCGGATTTAGTGCCACATAGCCAAGTGGCCTGGGTCACACTTGGAAAAAATCGTTTATCTCATATGGGCAAAAAAATTGGCTGCAGTGTGAACGTAGCCTAAGTGGCATAATCAAACTTTGGGCTTAAATAACAGAGATAACAAGTGAAGGCTATGAGCTAAATAAAGATATACAGGTGAATTTTATCTACTCATTTCCAGCTCTGGCTCTGGCTGATGGAGAGGCATTCAGAGGAGCACGCTGGGATAAACACAAGGAAGAAACTAACATGATATATCCAGTTATACAAAAAGAAAAAATGTAGAGCATACAACTATACTCTTAATGTCAATACTAACAAATACAAAACAGGAAAATAAGGAATAGATATATTGGTAACTCCTTGTTTACCAGGTTAAATTAATGAAACTCCTTTCCGGGATATTTGTGGTCTTATTCTCTGTCAAATATATTCGAGATTGAAATGATCAAATTAAAGAAAAGAAAATTGTTTCCTTTGATAGAAAATACCTAAAATACCTCAAACATTTTCTAATCTGTTTGCGTATTTTTGGGACAGGCTCTGTCTTAAAAAGGTACTATAAGGTGAGATTTAATGCATTTTCCTCTGCACCTATTTTCAGTAGCATACATGTGTTTGTGTGTGCGGGTGTGTCTTACAACCTCAAGCTGCTGGACATCAGGTAGAAGGATCTGGGACTGATGCCAATGCCCCATACGAGGTGTTAGCTCGGAAAGAGGCAGTAGCAGAGAGACAGGCTGCATTTAACGTCACAGATGTCCATTAACTGTCTTTGGAAAGTGATTAAATACAGCTCACAGATACAGTCAAGCTTTGCATCTGATTCTACTGTGTCTAAAATTCTAGTTTCAGTGTGTATTTGTTGATTCATGCCTTGTTTTTTCATTGATTGAAAAAGCTACTTCACTTTTGAATATCTGTGAAATAACTCCCCCTCAACCGAGTTTCAGTAAACCTTTGGGTTTTCAGAAAGTCAGTTTAAACTGTTTTACTCATAGCTTTGAACAGCTTTCTTTGTTCCTATGTAAAGAAAGAAGGGAGCTAACTCACTGATAAAAGCAGGAATAAAAAGGGATATTTTTTCCTGCAAAAACATTGATTAAAAGATTATATCTGAGTCAGAGGGAATAAGAACAATGAAAGGAGACAGGAGGAAGCAACTGTGAGAAAAAAGCTACAGTAGACTATGATTAGAAAACCGAGGCAACAGACTCAACAGAAGATCACCTGTATATGTTGGTGTTCCTGGTTATTTTGCAAGGGTTTTATCACTTTTTATCAAGGTTTTCATCACCATAAAAGTGATAAGTCTTCCTAGAACCAAGACGTTTCTTTTTTCACAGTAACATCACATTTAGAGGATGTGGTTTATAGTGGAAGTGATGCAGACATGTAGGTGAACTAGAAAAGTTAAGATAATAGTCACTTTTTATAAATTCAATCAGACTCTCTTCTCCATGACATACTGTTCATGCCACATTCATTTTGGGCCATTAATGGCCTTTTCTTGGATGCACTTACGATGGTATAACAATTTAAGCAGAGAACAGATTTTGGGTAAAAAAAACTAATTGTATCCACACAGGATCAGAATTGCACATCAAGGCTTAAATAAATACATACATTATCTCACATAAATGTCTACAGAAGGCATTTGTTTTGTCTTAGAGAGTAAATTCAGTTTTTAATCAAGATTAAAAGTTTCGGCTTTGCAAAAAAGTTTTTTTTATTGGTTAATAAACTCTAGCTTGTATGATGCATGTGAAATTAAAGTGGAAAGGATCAACTTTTTTGAGAAAATCCAAATAAAGTATGGGGATGTATGTTTTATGACAGCACTTTAATTTAGTTGTGTTATATATTCTAGCATGGAAAACACTTTGTGATCATGCTTTTATAGAAGTGAAGATGGTAGCATGCATACAGAAAATTAGTGAATTATACAAATGCCTGACTTCAACTAGTAGGATTTGATTAGTTACCAATTATGGATGTCCAAATGACAATTTTAATATTTTATTTATCATATGGATAAAATATGTCCCACACCAAGCAACATTAATAGAAAGATACACCCTAATCTATCTGGCTCTGTTGCATTCAATAAATTCCGTAAAGGCATGTTGCTTTGTTAATTTAAAGATGCGTTACAGTTTTCTATCAATACTGCCACCTTTGGCAAAAGCACAGAACTGCAGCCCTCTTTTGCTCATTCTCATATTTTTTTTTCTTTTTTACTTTTTTCTCCTTACTTGGTAGCCGAGTTGATGCCAGTCGCTCCTGAGTATCAATAAAAATCAGTCATGTGTAATACTTTGATAGTTTGCTTGGTACTGTAGGACCCATTTAGCATTCACGTGCTTGACGTCACATCTGCATACAGAGTGCGTGAACTATTGAAGTAAATTCAGGAAAATCGTTGAACTACTGAAGCATCAGTCTGCTCATCAAATGATGTTTCAGTCTTAAAAGGTTAAATAAGTAATCTTTTTATAAAATTCCTACTTAATTTTTAAGAAAAAAAAAATTTCTTTTTAAAGTATTAAAATTGAATCCTTAATTTGATTTAATCCCATATTTAATGTGTGGTTTCCTCGACCTCCTGGTTTGCTTTGGGCCTCCCACTGAGCTGAACCAGCATAGCAGCTGTGATTGTTGAGAGTTAGAGGTGGGGGTGATTCAGGTGACATGATCAGGGCTTTGGAGAAGATCTGTTCCCTGGGGAAGAGGTGACTCAGGCCTGGAGCACGTCCAGAAAAACAGGCGATCTTTGTGTTGTACACACACACAAGCTTCGGCATAAATTACCTGCGTCATGGTTTCTCGCTAAATGAGGTGAGACTGTGAGGGTATTTTTCCACTACAGAGTTCAGAAAGACAATAAAGAGAAAAATACTAATATATATGCAGGTTTTTCTGTTATTTATCCCTTTAGATCTCATTGTAGGGATTTGAGTCAAGGTGACTGTTGCCGGTTTTCTCTTGTGATCTCAAGTGTCACCTAAAGCTGTGGGGGTTTCAGATATCCAGTTAAAGACACAGATAAATCTTCTGTTTACATTATTTTGAAAGAATGTGACTCATAAAAGAACCAGAATTCCAAACCATTTTTAAGGTCAGAATCATCTTTAAAAAAAAGGAAAAAAAAGAAACATATGCTGGAATATAATTTTTTTTTCTTTGTGCATTAGTTTAAATTATGGGTGATATGTTATGACTATTTTTAAGGAAAGTGTTTACACAGAAATGTTTAGAAGAAAAGTATTGTATTTTGTAAATTGACCCATGGGGTTGAGCTCAGGCTTGGCTTTAATTCCTGTACCTTTGGCTCCCTCTGCAGGTTGACTGCAACAACTACATCCGTCTATTGGAATTCCTGAAAGATGGTCGCATCTATGTGTGTGGGACCTACGCATTTGACCCCCAGTGTGCATTTCTGGTTAGTGTGTCCATTGTTATCTTACATCTCTTATTTCTTAAACTGTTTTCAAATCTTGTGCAAAACTATTTTTATATTTATATTTTATCCCTCCCTTAATGCATTTCATTGAGATTTAATGTGATAAAAACTCCTCGGTGAATTAAAAAGAATGGATTGTTTACCAATTTACTTAGCAAAAATGAAAATAAGAGAGTGTTTGTATAATTCGTAATTTACCTCTTTGCCGGTAGTGGGATGATAGAGGTCTTATCCTCTATCATGGAGGGATGCTGGGCGTTTCCACCACCATAAGTTTCCACTATCATGTGAGCATACTGCATGATATGTGGTAGTTGCTGATCCTCGTCCACCAACTATTAGGGGATTGTCCACCCAGTGTGTGAAGTCTGGATTTGTCGGACAGAGCGGAGGAACTATCTCTTGTGATCAACGGGCTGAAAGGCGATTGCCAGCAATGCTTTGTGGGGCGCATAGGGCGGGACAGGACACGTAGGATGCCACGGCCATCCGCTGCATCCATTCCAGGCTCCAGTTGTCTTACCCTGTCTTGCCACTGGATCTAGACTAGTCTCGGACGAGAGAGTGAGGTCGACGTTGAGTAACTCTTCCTCACTTTAAACAAAGTCATAGCGCAAGTCATCTGTCATCCTTCCATCAAGGATGAATAGATGGTCCTCGTCGTATCGACGGACGAACAGGAATTTACCTCTTTAGTTTAAGGCTTATTAGAGCCACCTATCCATAGAGCTACAGCTGTCTTTTGGAGTACACACTCACCAGTTATTTACTTTTTGAGAAATATTATGATAAATAGGATTTTAATAAAAATAAACTGATAACTTATAAGGAAACTGACTTTTAGTCCTTCTTGTTGTGGTGATATCTTTGTCCAGGCAGCCTTTTAGTCTTTTACAGTTGCCGTACACTGATAAGATTCAGTGGCCTACATGAAAAAAAAAATTTTTTTTTGCCCTGAATCCCAGTACTGTCTGTAGAAGGTATTTAAAACTTAAAGCCAGATTTTATATTTGTATTTACCTTATCAAAACACAGAGCAAGAGCAGAATTTCATTTGTGCGATGATGTTATCATAAACAATAAGTATTGCAACACTCTGCTACGCCCACAAATCATGGAGGGCCGAAAACATTTTACAGCTGAGTCCCAGCACCACAGCACTCCCCCTCCCTAGAACCTAATTAACACCGTTATAGCTCCTTTAAACAGTGGCAGTTTAGTTATTTTCTTTTAATGTCGTCCTACAGCAGCATTCCTCCTTCACTTTGGAAAAAACAGCGGAGGGAGACGTGAAGGTGGAGTCTGGTAAGGGCAAGTGTCCCTTTGAACCCAGCCAGCGTTACACAGCTGTAATGGCAGGCAAGTGGAAAACATTCTGATTAATTATCTTGTTTATCCTCTGCTTGCCAAGCCCGGTTAGTTGTAGATTTTTTTAATACTTTCACTTTATTTTCTTCAGATGGAATCCTATACACTGCAGCCACCAGTAACTTCCTGGGAACTTCCTATGATATCTCCAGGGCAACTGGCCCTGAGCAGGAGCGTGTCCGAACTGAACAGTCCATCAACTGGCTCCATTGTAAGATTGTGTTTATATCCTGATACATACATCTTAGTATCACATGATGCAAATGAAATGAGTAAACCTTTTTTTTTTGGTGGGGGGGTGTGTGTTCAGATCCAGAGTTTGTTAGCTCAGCCTACATAGAGCAGACCCCTGACAGCAACCCAACTGGAGATGATGACAAAATCTACTTCTTCTTCACGGAGATGGCAAAAGAGCACGATCTGTATACCAAAGTGCCAAGGGTGGTACGGGTCTGCAAGGTAATCCAGAGATTCAACTGATAACTTGTTTCTTTATCTAAGATTTTAGTCGACTAAATCTCTGCTGGTTACTTGTTCAGTCTGACGTGGGAGGCATGAAGACTCTGCAGCGGCGATGGACCACTTTCCTCAAGGCCCAGCTGGTGTGTGAGGACAAACCCAGCGGTCAACGCTACAACATCCTGACCGATGTTTTCACAGCTCGGCACTCTCCAGGAGACCCCAGCAGCACACACTTCTATGGACTGTTTACCTCCCAGTGGTAGGAGAAAATATACATTCCCTTTTTGCTGTTTGCTCTGTGCGCCACTTGCTAAACAAGCATCATCTATAAATATACTAGAAAGATAAAGAATATAGTTGTGGAGAAGTTTAAAGCAATGTGACTTTATAATATGATAACTTGACTTGTTTTACATCTAACAGCTTTAATCAGTATATCTTCTGAAAATAGGGAGAAAATACAAATCTAAAGAAAAATATGGCCGGCGAAAATGGAAGAAAAGCTTTTTCAAAGAGTTTGTGATGCATTTTGGAAATAGGAGATTAGTGCCTGGTCTAACACACCACCTGGCTTAAGAAAACTGTTCAAAGACTTACTTTTATTATTTAGGTCTTGCACACATATCATCCTTATCTTTTTTTATTCTTACGCTTACCTTATTTTATTCTAATCCTTATCTTATTTTATTCTTATATCTTATTTTTTCTTAAAATCTTATTTTTCTCTTTTCTGTAAACGGTTGCACTGCAAGAAAAAAATCCCGCAAGGGATTAATAAAGTAATTTTGATTAATGAAGCCCTTTGGCAGAATTCAAATGAGCCATTTTAATCTACAGTAGATTAATCTAGATAAATTCCAAGATTACAGTAAAATTAATCGAGATAAAAAGATAATCTAGGCCCACCACTTGTAAGAAAATAAAACTGTATATTGAAAACCATAATTTATTCATTTAGATTACTTGTTTTTGTACTTGATAAATGCACAGCAGACTTGCTTTATTCAAAACTACCTTTCCTTCGTCTGTCCAAATATTCACTAGTATGAATAATCTTAGTATTTTCTTCATATATGTATTAAAGTCTTAATAAAATTAATGAAGATATGTAGTAAAAAACGATGATAAATGTCAAGGACTATAATTACTTTAGAAAGACCCTGTGCTATTTTAAGCAATGTCATGTTCAATGACATCGCCAGTACCAGTTCCAAAGAAATCTGTAGATATAGGAATTGTACATTTCCTGTTCATATCTATAAAAACAACTAAGTAATGGACATGAAGGCAAACATTTTTCAGTAAATATCAGTATCATGTTACTGGTTTTCTGGATATATTTAACCATTGAATTATGAGAGTGTTATCCGCAACTAAAACAGAGCAATCTTCTAAACCCTTAAACCTAACTAAACCTTTATTGCCTTTCCTTTTACAGGGAGCCCAATGATGTTTCAGCGGTGTGTGTTTTCAGTCAGTTTGACATCATCAAAGTGATGGACGGCCCCTTTAAAGAGCTAAAGAAGACATGTGAGAACTGGAATACTCCTGAGACGGTCCCAACTCCGAGACCAGGCCAGGTACTAAACTATCACCAAGCTGCCTGCTTCCCTTTACATATGTTTAGTTTATTTCCTTGTATAACTATTGTCTTTCTTCGTGTAATTCCCAGTGTTTGAACAGCGCTTTAAGGGCTGAAGGATTCGAATCTTCTTTGAAACTTCCTGACAAGGTGCTGACGTTTGTGAGGGACCATCCTCTAATGGAGAACAGTGTCACAGCAGCACCTGTGCTGGTGCGTAAGGGAATTAAATACACCAAGCTAGCGGTTACCCTAATGGGTGAAGCAGAGGACCAAAGAGGATTTGTCCTTCATCTTGGAACAGGTCAGAGAAGATTGATAAACTGAAAATTCTGAAAGAACATTCAAATTTTAATCACTTTTAAGTATACCATATGTGTATATATATATATAAATGTGTCTTGGGTTATTTAGTATATAAACCAAAAAGGGAACGTTTTCCTGTTAACTTTAAGATAAATTTCTTAAAATCATGACAGCTTCTCTGAAGCTCAAGGCATAAAGAATTTTTTGCATTAAATCTTAGAAGGCAACTTGACAAAGAAGCCATTAGATTTCTCCCAAAACTCATTGAAAAGCTTAACAAATCTTTAAAAAGCTCAAACAGTAATCGGGGTTGCTTGTCTTAAAAAACTTTTTATGTATGTATACAATAACACAGATTAGCAAAATTCAGTTTATTGATTGTTTATTGAGTTTGATCTTTTTTATTTTATTGGAGTAAATCATTTTAAAAGTAAACCCTTTCTTTCTGTGTTGTAGATCGAGGTGAACTCCACCAGGTGGCAGTAGCGGGCCAAAATGCAACTTTACTACAAGAGATTCCTCTCTTCTCATCAGAAGAGCCTGTTAACAATATATTACTATATCAGGTAAAGCAGCTGCTTTTGTACCTCAAGGCTCACATTTCTTTTAGCTTTTATATATTTTGTTGTTGTTGACTAAAACTGAATGATTATTTTTAGACTCCTTTGAGTATCTAAGGTTTCCTGTGTCTCCAGGGCCAAGCACTGGTGGGAAGCTCGCTGTCTGTGGCCAGAGTCCAGGCTGAAGGCTGCGCTCTATATTCCAGCTGTGAGATCTGTGCCAGAGCCAGAGGAGTGGGCTGTGAGTGGAGCGAAGAAGATCAAACCTGCAGCTTTACAGACACAGAGTAAGTATTAAGAGTATGTCAAAGTACAAGAAGCTGTTTGAAAATGGAAAACTAAGCCAGATTACACATATCAGAACACAGCAGTGCATGTAAGGAAAACTTCAATCCTTTTGGTCTTAAAGAATACACTAATTTAGTTGAAACTGTGTAATGTAAAGAAAGAAAGATAAATTATAATAACGATTAATGATAACGATCAAGCAGAGATTACCATTTATAGCAATCAGGCAAATATAAAACAAAAAAACAATCACTAAGTGAAAAGGTTGAATCAATTACAACTATTTGGTTTAAATATGGATGTTTTTGTGGCACTAGTTGCCCCTGCGATGGACTGGCAACCTGTCCAGGGTGTACCCACGCCTCTTGCCTGTAGACAGCTGGAGATAGGCACCAGCATCTCTCACTACCCCGCTTGGGATAAGCGTGACAGAAAATGGATGGATAGTTGCCCTTATTCTGTTATCAGGAAATAGGAAATTATGAGTCTTTTTTGTTTTTGTTTAAAACACTTGATATTTCAGTTAGATATTTTTTTTCCTACTTTCCAGCTTTTATCTTCATTACACTGTCACAAGTAAAGAGCAATGAAATTCCCTCTCTGCATTTAACCCATCCCCTTGGGGAGCAGTGGGCAGCCATGGTGCAGCCCCCGGGGGTAAAGTGTGGGGTTAAGGGTCTTGCTCAGGGACCTGATTAGGCCTAACAGACAGAGCTTGGAGTTGTTTTTTTAAAAACACACTATAGAGACTTGATAATACAAATTACATAGTTTACCTGCAAGACTACCTAATGATGACATGACAATTCAGAGTTTCATGTAAAAATGTAAATATTAAAAAGACATAGAGAAAGGACGATAAAAGGACACATTTATTTCCAAATCAAATAGATAGAAATACACAAAGAAATGCTCAAACAAGGTCAAAATGTCTTTTTTTTCTGGGTCTGTATTCCAAAGCGAGAATAATGAAATATCTGCTATGGTTATATTTGGGATTCCTTTGGTAGAAATCATAAAAAAAAACTTTTGCATCACCTATTGGGGGCTGAAAAAATGAAACCCTGCAAGTTGGACATAAGGATTTTGCCCTGTTGGCTGATAGTGTTGTGTCATTTACATACAGTTTATTAAGTTGCGAGGGCAGAGACGGCCGAGAGTCCAGCTGATTTTGAGAGAGCAAGGAGTGGCCTTAGCTCACCATCAGGGCTAAGCTTAGGTGCAGACAGAGCTAAGCACAGCTGGTGGAAAAGAGTTTGTCAGAGTTTAGAACCCACCAGACACATATCATAGTAAATTAGCATGTGTAAGACTTAAAAGCTGCAGACCAGTGAGATTCTTAACAGTAAGCTGAAGCTGAAGGTTCATAGCAGCAGTTCTTCCATGTTCAGTACTGTATACCGCTCCTGAATTTTTACTGCTACGCATTATGGGGGCGTTTTGGCTAACATTTACCCCTGGTTAACACATATATAGCGACTTTATAGAAATAACAAAATTCATCAAAGTTATCTTAGGTCAATTTAATTTCATTTACTTTTTCTTTTGTAGTCTGGGTTAATAATTGTCAGTTAATATCACTAACTAAAAGTGGTTGCTTAATAAAATAGCCCTATCCATTGTTACATTTTGTTTAATAGTTTCTTGCTTCACATGATTATCATTCAAAATTGAACAATGAGAACAACAAGATAAAACAATTAGATATCAATTAACCAAAATAAGGCTTGGAATTAAAATCAGAACCAAAACTAACAAAAATTTGCCTTGAGTTAAATGAAATGTTTTCTGTTTCCAGTCCCGGCCCAGGTGACGTTGTGGATGAGGCCTTAAAAAAGTGTCATCCACCAGTGGGTAAGTAAATCCATGTGCAATATATTATGTGCAAAAAAAAAAAAAAAAGTTATTCTAAAACCTTCATGTCTTATTGTGAATATTGTTTTAAGCTCTTTGTTTTGTTTATTTTAGGACGATGCAATCCAACCACCAGGGAGCTGAAAGTCTCCATCGGGGTGCGGATCCTGTTGCCATGTGTCCAGCTTTCCCCTCGTCCTTGTAGCTGGGAGTATCCTCCCCACAGACACACAAGGCAACACCACTCTGACTTGGCAGTGACTGTGACAGATGAAAATGTGGGAAAATATGTTTGCATCTGTCAGGTACATATTTATTTTCAATTCTATATCTTCTTACAAAAATAATCATGTTGTTTGGTCTTTATGTGATAGACCAACAAAGATTTAATAATAAAAAAAAATCTATATAAAGTGGCAGAGATACAAAATACAACTGTCAATCAGCTCCACAGGCACCCCTGTCCAGGAAACACACAGTCAGGCAGACGAGCTCCGAGCCAGCTCCCATGTCAGAGGATGAGGAGAGCACATCCAGTCACAGTCAGAGAAACAGGACCACACTTAAAAACAGGCTGATCTCGAACATCTATAAACAAAGGTGTTGATGGCAGCAGCACAGCTGATATTTCTCTCCAGGATGGTGTCACAGCCAAACAGGAACAGACCAGATGAAGCTACTATGAGAAAAAGTAGAGAGAGCAGAACGTTAGAGATTAAACTAACATATTTTGCAGACTGGAAGAATAGAGATAGAATGAAGCAAAATTATGAAATAGTGGTCCCTGTGTCCTCCAGCAGTCTAAGCCTATAGCAGCATAACTATAGAGATAGCTCAGGATAACCTGAGCCACTCTAACTATAAGCTTTATCAAAAAGGAACGTTTTAAGCCTAGCCTTAAAAGTAGACAGGGTGTCTGCCTCACGGACTAAAACTGGTAGTTGGTTCCACAGGAGAGCTTTTAAAGCTGTTATTTTTAGTTCATCAAAGAAATAAGGTTACTGAATGATATTAGATTTTTTTTTTGTCTCTTTTAGGAGGGAGGACCCAACATCAGAGACCCGACCCCCTGCCGCCGAGCAGCTTTCTTTCTGAACCTGGATGGCCCCAGTACTGGAGGATCAACGGCCCTTGCGGGAAGCAGACATGTCTTAGCAGTCTACATTTTGTTCTTCTTCTTGGGTCTAATGTGTGGAGCGTTTCTTCTCAACTTTGTATACCGGAAGCAGACCAATAAACACCAGGACCATCACGCCCCAGATAATTCATTTTCATCAGGAAGAGGGCGGAACTTGCTTGGCTCATCGACAACTCCTCAGTCCCAAAGCAGTTCTAGCATGGTTTCTGAAGGATTCAGATCAATGGGAAAGCAAAATGGCAAGACTACTTCAACCACAACCACTACGCTCCTCAGCAATCAAGGTAACGGTGGCCACCTTGCTAACAGCTACAGCGGTGGCCAGATTATCAGCAGCCCAAGTAATGGGCATTCACTGAACGCAGACTGTGACACAAGCAGCAGCGGGCTGAAGCTGAACTCTGAAATTCTATTATCGAATGCGCTGAGGGGAAGGACGGGGGTGAGGGGGCAGGTGCAGCCAGAGGGAGAAGAGAAGGAGCCTGGGAGAGAAAACGAGGCGAATGAGGAGCCGAGAGATAAGAGGAGGGGACTAGAGGACGACCTCAGCAGTTTCCCTATGTTAGAGTTTCAAGCACCAATGGCTCAATGTGAAGAAAGCTCAATATGAAGGGAAACATTCCTCAGCCTGCAAATAATCTGAATACCACTGTAGGTACTACCAAATGCCTTTGAATGGGAGCTGTGACATGAAGAGATACTACAGAGCTTTATAATCTCTAACTGAACTTCTATGAATTGACTGAAGGGCAGAGCAGAAAATATAAGTATGTGATACACTGCTGTCTTAGACACTCAGGAGAGCCACAGCTTACATTGGTTGGATGTAAATTTCAAATGTAAATACCTTTGTTGTCAATATGAAAGTCAGCTGTCATAAAAACTCTGATGTAAGTCTAATGTTACAAGGAAATCAAAGATGAAATGTCTACCTGTGTAGGCATGGAAAAGCCATATTTTGTTGTTTCATTCACCTGTACTGTTGGAACTGCAAAGGAAAAGTGCACTTCAGTCTTAGCTCCTGTCTTTGTAACTAGGTGTCCCTAATTCACCGCTAACACTGCACACCTTGACAAATCCAGAGGCACCAAAGGGACTGCTGAGCCATACATAGCCCAGATCATATGCACTGGTCCTGGGCTCTAGGAGACGAGGATATCCCTGTCAGAGACTAAAGAACCAAGAGTTGTCTGCCAAACCAGAGACAGCGCTGTCCCTGTTTACACGGCTATAGTTCTTAGGAGGTTCACAGAGTGAGGATCAGATTTCTGGCAGTGTTTGGGAGCCTACAAACTTTCCAGGTTATTGGCACAAGGAAAAAGTCTTTCAAATGATGTCTTAAAGGATGGACCTTTTTGTAATTCAGAAACACTGTCACCTCATTCTGTGAGTGGATTTTAACCTAAATGTATTGTTGCTTTTTTTTTTTTTTCATCTTTTATAATAAAAAACAATAAACAGACTTTGGTCGTTTCTTACTATCTTGCTGAAATCCTTAATTATTCAAACTGCATTTGTTTTTTCTCCATATTTGATTAATATATTAAAAATATTGAGTTTCTGAAACGGTGAAATGTGACAATGTTGAGTTTTGTAACTAGATTTTGCTGTTCAGTCAGCTCAGTTTCTGCTGCTAGTCCTTGTGTGGAGGAGATTCTACACTTTACAAGACAAACTATGAGAACCAGCTTCTCATGAAGATAATGGTTAATGCAAAAACTTCTGTTTTTGTAGTTATCTGGCAAACTGCATTTAGAGGTGTAAGGCAGGTAAAAGTATTCCACACAGATTCCATTGACATATGAACAAAACAGTTGCATTACATCAACCTTCAATACAGTAATGAGAGTTAATTAATTTACAAACTTTTCCATGACAGGTGGTTATCGTTATGACCCATGTTTACCTGGGTGTAACTAGTTTGATGTAACAGTTTTTTTATTAGATGACGACAGGCAAATTGCCTCAGAGCTTTGTGTTTGTTGTTTTTATTCATGTCGTTACACGGTCTCAAATCTTGGGATTAATCTCAGGATCCTTTTGTGTGATGCTGTGGTCTATTTTTAGTTTTTAATCCCTAATGATATTAGGAAACACAATATGTCAGAATGGATGTCAACACTTTTTCTTCTCACCCGCAAACTATCAAGTATCAAGGAAACACTCCTTACATTGTGCCCCTTCGTGAACACTTTGTTTGTTGGTTAAAGAAGAAGATATTTCTCCAAATGCAAACGAAGATCTGAGTCAGATGCACTGCAATGACATGTAAATGAGTGTCAAATCAACTTCTGTTTAGGCCACACTGATTTTCATTAACAATTTTAACGAGCATTCACTCATTAACATTGGATTTCTCCTGTTTTGCGATTAAATCTTTCTTTGAATTTCTGTCGCTAAATCAAATAACTTGGATTGTTATATGTTCTCTAAACACATGCCCAAACGGTTGAGTGCTAGGACGACAGATAATACTCTGATTCAAGCTCAAAACCTGGTCAAACAATGAACTTTCCACACATATAGAATTAATTCACTGTTTTTAATTCAAAATATACAAATTTATTAATGAAAGTCATTTAACTCCAAGTCAAACATTTCAGTTAAAAATGACTATTTTTAGTCTTTGATCTTGCATGATATAAAAAAAAAAATAAGTCAGAATGGATCGCTGAGTTGTGAGCTGTTTGGCCTTTGACCAAACAAAACAGCGATTGTATTGCCTATTGTTTTACTGTTTAGCTCCACTTTCATTGGTTGTTCTGCCATAAGTTCTGCCTTCTCTCTTCCTGATTGGCTGTTTTCTATGAAGGTATATTGTTTCAAAACTATTTGTGCATAAGTGTGAATTTGAAGTTGTAGAGAGTTACATTCTAAGTTTTGTAATGCGTAGAATTTAAAATTTATTTTTTTATACCTGTTCAAAATTAAAGTACAAGTACACAAATTCTGTTCTACAAGTTGCACATCAAAAACCTCTTACATTCTCAGTTTTGCTTCAACTGGTTCGGAACTATTTAAAAATTATTTGTGCAATGTAACTTTGGTGTTTTGTAACTGCAGATTTTTTTTTAATCTGTCACAATTACAAAAAAAAGTTACACCTTTCAAAATTCTTGAGTACAAGTAAACAAATTGTGTTCTCTGAGTTGCACATCAAAAATGTCTTCCATTCATTTTTACTACAGTTGATAAAAAAAAAAATAATGCAAAACTAATTAAAACACACACACAAAATATATATATATATATATATATATATATTTCTTTTTTTCTCCTGAACACAAATACAAATCAATGAATACAACTGCACAAACCTGCTGCTGTGAGTCACAAATTCAACTTTTCAAGTTACGCCTTTATTTTTACTTTTGACACAAATGTCACACCGGTGTCGTGCCAAGGTAGAAAATTTGTATCCCCTCCTCGGGAGCGCGGCCAGAGTAGGAAGAGCTGACCAAGTTAACTCCGCTTCAATTCCGACGTACTGAACATGAAATTTGAAAGGTTTTATTTTTATGAAAGATGAGCTTTTCTGCTTTATTCTTCCATTCACATGTTATAGTAGAATATCGCCAGTAATACTGATTAAAAGAATATATAAACACGAGCGTCTTCTCCTTCCTCTGAAAGCAAACAGCTCCTTGTTCGTTTCAACACATTCCTTAAAAAAATCTCTCGTTGTTTCAGTGTCTAAATGTTCTCATCCCAATGAAAACTGTTGTAAACCATATACTTGTAATAAAAATTAAATAGAAAATGAAGTGTATGTGTAATTATTAAAGACTATATCCACAAGGAAAATTACTTTTTCCTATGTGAAATTTAGTACTTCAATCTATATTTGTGTTTTGTATTAACTTATAAATTTCTCTATGTTGTAGTATCCTTAATAAACAGTCTTTTTCTAACATCAGGCGTTTTATTTCATCCCATATTGCCAGAATTGGTATCCCCATTAACTCTACACATCCAGCATAGGAATATACACATTCTTAAGATTATGATTTGGAACTAGGCTTGAACTTCATCAATTATAGTGTTTGATGTAGATTTTATAGGGCTGTCTGTCTCTGCTTTCATTTGTCCCCCCTGTCTAAATTGGACAAAAAGAGTTCACATCTTTTATGATAACAGATCACTCCTGGAACTTTGGAGGTGATAGACCTTTGTTTTGTTAAGTTGCAAGGGGGAAGAGATTAAAGCAGGCTACCTGCTATAATCTGTTCCCCCTGTCTAAATCCGACACAAAGAGTCCCAGCTTTTTTAGTTCAACATCAGATATGCTCAGAGCATGCTCACTTAGAAGGTCACTGCAGCTGAGGTGTATTTTACATAATTTGTTGTCGAACACAATGTGCCATTCAATGTCTGAAGGCACACTGGCAAGCTGTTCAGGAAGATGTTTGCAGATTCAGAAATAGCTAAACATTATGCCTGCTCCTTCACCAAAGCAACAGCTAATATGAATTTGGAACCCTGGAACCTGAATGTTCAGAGAATATGTACAAACTACTTTGCACAGAAAAAAAACCATACAGCATTTTGGTAGATGAAAGCAATGACATCATGTGCGAGAAGGAATGTGCTGTTTTAGCCAGGTATTACAGTGAAGCACAGGATAAGGTGGCAGTTGGACTTATTGATATGCCAATATCCAATGATGCCAAAGCTGAAAATATATTCAACTGCATTGCATCATCCATGGAAGAGAAGGGCATTGATTAGTACAATGGCATAGTATTCAGCATTGACAAATGCAATGTCATGATTGGCAAAAAAAAAAGAAAACTCTGTCTTGTCCAGAGTAAAAGCACAGGCGCCTCACATATACAGTGTTGGCTGTCCTTGTCACCTGGTAAACATACAGTTGTGGTCAAAAGTGTACCTACACTTGTAAAAAATCGTAATGTTATGGCTGTCTTGAGTCTTCAATAAGTTCTACAACTCTTATTTTTCTGTGATAGAGTGATCGGAACACATACATGTTTGTCACAAAAAACAGTCAAAATTTGGTTCTTTCATAAATTTATTATGGGTCTGCTGAAAATGTCACCAAATCTGCTGGGTCAAAAATATACATACAGCAACAAAATGTGTCAACTTTGGTGATGTAGCGAGTTGTGTCAATCAAATTAGCTTCATGTCATGGCCTCTTCACTTCTTCGAAGTGATTCTGATTGACTACAGCTGTTGACTTCTCATGAGCCCATTTAAATAGGGCTCATTTGACCCAGTGATTAGACTCAGCTACAAAAGCTACAATGGGAAAGTCAAAGGAACTCAGTGTGGATCTGAAAAAGCGAATTATTGACTTGAACAAGTCAGGGAAGTCACTTTGAGCAATTTCAAAGCAGCTACAGGTCCCAAGAGCAACTGTGCAGACAATTATACGCAAGTATAAAGTGCATGGAACAGTTGTGTCACTGCCACGATCAGGAAGAAAACGCAAGCTATCACATGCTGCCGAGAGGAGATTGGTCAGGATGGTCAAGAGTCAACCAAAAATCACCAAGAAGCAGGTCTGCAAGGATTTGGAAGCTGATGGAACACAGGTGTCAGTCTCCACAGTCAAGCGTGTTTTACATCGGCATGGACTGAGAGGCTGCCGTGCAAGAAAGAAGCCCTTGCTCCAGAAAAGGCACCTTAAGACTCGGCTGAAGTTTGCTGCTGATGACATGGACAAAGATAAAACCTTCTGGAGGAAAGTTCTCTGGTCAGACGAAACAAAAATTGAGCTGTTTGGCCACAACACCCAGCAATATGTTTGGAGGAGAAAAGGTGAGGCCTTTAATCCCAGGAACACCATGCCTACTGTCAAGCATGGTGGTGGTAGTATTATGCTCTGGGGATTTTTTGCTGCCAGTGGAACTGGTTCTTTGCAGAAAGTAAATGGGATAATGAAGAAGGAGGATTACCTCCAAATTCTGCAGGAAAACTTAAAACCATCAGCC